AATCAGCCGCCTAGAGTGGTTGAAATGACTAGATAGGCGGGGTATAAATCAATCAATCAATCAATCAATCAATCAATCAATCAATCAATCAATCAATCAATCAATCAATAAAGATGAGGCCTAACCAGTGCCAAAAAGAGGGGGACGAGTACAGTACTCAATGAGATTTGGAGATTATACTTCAGCCTAAGATAACATTGGTCCTTGCTGCAACCACATTGCACTGTTGATTAATATTCCGTTTGTGATCTACAACAATTCTAAGATCGTTCTTGTTCATAGTATTACTGGGCCAAGTTTCCCCCATCTTGTAACCGCGCATTAGGTTTCCCTCCCAGGTTTTGCACTTCTCCTGGTCAAATTTCGTTCTGTTGTTTTCATCCCAGTGCCACTAACTCTGCCCCAGCGTCGTATTAACTACTTTAATATCTTTGTAGACAGCTCTCCGTTCAGTCTTCACATAACATTTTCTCTCACTCCATTTCATCCCTATCCATCTAAATTTTAGAACGACGAGATAGATAGGAGAGAAGCAGAGGAAGGAAAGGAGTTATGTGACATTTGCAGTGAGTGATTCATTCACAAAACAAAATACATAGTTTTCGAAATGCCTCTCTGTCCATCTCTTCCACGTATAATTGACCTCAGTATTTGCTCACCCATCCCATTATTATATTGCTCATCACTTGTTTGCTTATATTCTGATTCCACGGGCAAACCTGTGTTGTCCACTGCAGCATAAAACAAAAAATCTTGTCCCATTAATGATGGGTCTTTGGCAGATAAAACATTCATGAACTGCACCCCACTCCATCTATTTGTCCCTCTAGCCTTCAATCTGATTTTTGGCTTCTAGTTATGGCTTTTTGTCAATGTTATATTCTCTCATTAACTCTCCCCACCCCTTGCTCCCACCAAATTAACTACATTTATATTCTTGTAGACAGCTCTCCATTCAATCTGCAGAACAATCCTGTCTGGAAGGGCCAAACAAAAAGGGATGCGGGGGATGTCACTCATTGAGTTTTTAATGACTAGAAACTGGATTTCCCCAGTTCTTCAATCCAACTACTACACTACAGTGATGGTCACCCCTTGTCCTTGAACAGTTAGAAAAACACACCCATCCATCTACACAAAGAGATCTATTTATGCACCTTTCCATGTATCTGTCATGTATCTGCGTAAAGTGATGTACAAATCCTAAAATCAACATGCTAGGTGGACATTCTGTGAGTTGTAATCCAAGAAGTTTCATTATCATCCAAAAAGCAAGATTTCCAAGCTATGATCCCACCCTCCCTCAACCACCAGCCACCTGCTGACTTCATAGAGAAAAACTCACCTGTAAGGATCAATAACACAATCACTCCCATGCTGGTAAATTGCCTTGTCTGGCTTCCCATTCTTGTAGATTTTCTTCTTGTATCTGTCTGCTCCCTGTAGGTCTTGAGTTTTATAGACCTCCCGGGCCCGTTGTAGGAGGAGAAAGGCTGGGTCACCCTGCCCCTCCACACCTCATCAGTCTTACACAACGTGGCATTTTCCTGCATTTGTTAGCAGGAGACACAGTTAGTCATCTCACTTTTCTGGAACTCTTTAAACTTTCACAGCAAATATTGACTGCATTGGTCCTGCTGAACTGACAAAAAGCCAAAAATTAATTTATGACAGTCTCATTATCTTCTCTCTTGCCACGTTACAGGGAGGGTAACGCTGTATTTTTAGGAAGAAACATGGAAAGGGATGGCGCAATAACAAAGAGACTGAAAAAAAAGAAAAAAGAAATGAAACCGTATGAGTTCCACATCTCTAAATTATGATAATTATAATAATAATTAGTTACAGAGAATACAGATACTTTACTAAAAAAAAAAAAAAACCAACGCACAGTAAAATTTTAAAAAATCAACCTTCCACTCTCCATTTTTGCAAGCACCAAAAATTTACAGGTCAACCCAATCCCATTTTGGACTCATTCAGAGGACAAAGTATGAAGATATTTTATGTCTGTTAGTTGTTTGTGTGTTTAACGCTTTTATCGCAATGCAGGGACTCAAGGCAACTTATAGAAAACAATTAAAAAAAACACAAATATGGCTGGAAAACATGATTTCTGTGTATGTGATACAATAAAAGTGGAGAGGAGACTCATTTCTTGCAAACCCTAACCCACACCTCACATCAGCTCCCCAGTGATCCCACACACCCTAAAATAGGTTCCAGATTTCTTCTCAGTGGTCTTTATCTTTGCTTCTAATCCATTTTGTTCTGTCCTGCCCCACGCAGCACCTTCTGCTTCTTCAACATCTACATATAAATCGCTATTTCCCTTGTGTGCGTGGGAGCAACAGGCATCTTTTAAAAAATATTTTATTAGTTTTTCACTCTATCCACATTCCATTTGTGCTTGTCAAACATCGTGTCACATGATTTGCTTAATTTGTTTTTTGCATCTGTGTCTTCCTAGTTGTCCCCCCCAAATTCCAGACATCTTTCAAACATTCATCATCTACATATAAATTGCTATTCCCCTTTTGTGTGTTTAAGGGGGGGGGGACAGGCATCTTGAAGCATGCATGCACTGCCTGCTCTATAACAGGAGCAAACTAAGTGAACTGGGCCAAAACTCAGCTGCTACTCCCAGTGACGAGGCTCCTACATCTGCTCAAAAGCACCAATGAACTCGAATACAAGATCATCAGCAGGTGGGGAGGGAGGGGTCACTGATTCTGGTGTTGTACCCTTCCTCTTCCCTTGCAGCAACTGTGCAGAGTAACTCCACAACACTCACTGTCCAAATGAGCGGAAGAAGAGTTTGTTGCTCCAGTACAATTCCATGCTTGATTCTTATCATAGAGAAAAATGGGGCCTTGGCGGCACTTCCTATTCCTATATAAAGAGCCTCGTGGCGCAGTGGTTAAACTGCTGTGCTGCTGCTAAAGCTGCGCTCATGACCTGGGGTTCAATCCCAGGTAGCCGGCTCAAAGTTGACTCAGCCTTCTATCCTTCCAAGGTCGGTAAAATGAGTACCCAGCTCGTTGGGGGGGGGGGACAATGTGTAGCCTGCATAATTAACTTGTAAACCGCCCAGAGAGTGCTTGAAGCGCTATGGGGTGGTATATAAGCAGCACACTTTGTTATTGACCAGAAGGGGGCGAGGAGGGTGCCCATTGCCTGACGTACCCTAATGGAGACCGTCTACTGGAACTACAGTAGATGTACCGGATCAATTGCTAAACATGAGGTCAACACTTATATAAATCCCAGTGTATGAGTCAAGCAGCAAAATTTAGGTCAAAGGCCACGGAGGAGGAAGAGAGAAGACCCAATGGAACAGTGGAAGAGACAAAAGGAAACAGCAACCAAGCGGAAAGAAGGATTGAAGATGATGACAAGTCCAAGGTTCACATTGCAATTTAACAAAACCAGACAGCTAACCTTCTAGCTAACTTTTCATTTGACCAGGATACATAATATATAGTGCTAGTATAGTTCAGTGGGTTGGAGTGTGTGGCTAACAGAATCAGGAGCTGGTTGTACGAATCCTCATTGTGCGTCTTGGGGAAGGCACACGCAGGAGCGTTATGCGGCTTATGGGCTTACATGCCTTAGGGAAGCTGCCCATCGGTCCCAGAGTGCCATCAGAAGAAAGAACTGGTATAAGACTTTTGAGTATTTTATACCTAGAAAAGCCTGGGATGGTTCTCCTACATCAGAAAGCGACTCGATAGCGCAGACCTGTTGGCTTCCACTGCATTTAGCACCACTGGTCTAAATAATACTCTTCCTAAACAGATGTTCTGTGGGAAGAAAACAACAACGGAAGAAGTGAGAAAGCGCAGAATGGTTACAAATGGACAATGAGAACGTCCATTTGCCCCCTGACCCGCATTAATGAATGAAGCAGGATCATTGCCCAACAAATGCCATGTCTGAAAGCACATTACAAATGGACAATGAAAACGTTAGGGACAATGAGAACGTCCATTTGCCCCCTGCCCCGCATTAATGAATGAAGCAGGATCGTTGCCCAACAAATGCCATGTCTGAAAGCACCTCAAGAAGTTACCAAGGTACGTACCAGATTCCCTGAAGTTTAAGTCAAATCCCACCCCTACTATTGTAGAAGTCAAGAGGGTTCATGAGGCTGAGGTATAGTCAGAGGTGTACTCACATGCATAAAGAATGCAAGATTTTTCATCCAAAGCCTCTCCCATGTGATATATCACTGATTTATGTTTGCTTCTTTATCATGTATGACGATGGCATGCGTGTTCAGGCCCCCCCTTCCCCTGAGGGGATCACGAGGAAGAAAGACTGCTGTTGAACATGTCTTTCGCCTGCCCGCCATTGCATTGATGTATCTTCCAAGGATCCAGCTGAGCTTGAGTGGTGCCTGTCAGATAAGGAACATTCCCTGGAATTTGCAGAAGGAAAGGGCAGAGACGCACGCAAAGGGATTCAGGAAAACTCCTGTCCTGGCTTGCAGAAAACGCTGGCTAAGCAAAGAGCTGCCGAATTCCAAAGATTTAAATCATCTGGTACAGATGAGGGATCAAGCGCCATTTTTGGTCATTTTAGCAGACTTTAAGTGAATGTAATCTCCCCTTCTCCTGTTGGCACTGATGGGTGAACTCTGACATTTAACTAGTAATGCTCAGATCTGGCCATAAACACTCAGAGAATTCCATATGGTTGGGATGTAAATTAAACTTCTGTGCAATAAAACCATGTAATAGTGGCGGGGAGGGCACTTCACAGCTGCTAATCAACAGTTGAAAGTGGTGTAGTGTTGTGGATAAAGTACTGGTCCCATATAAGCCATGAAACTCACCTGGTAACAGGCTGACGTAATTACTAGTTAATGTATTAAAAAAAAATTGGAGACGAGCCGTGCTAGTTGAATTATACTGAGCTCAAACGATGAAAGGTAGGATATGCATAAGAATAATAAACAAACTGCAGAACAAACAGAAGTATTTCTTTCCCAGCTTTACTGGATAAGGAAGAGGATTCTCACTGTATAACAGTGATGGTAATTCATCTGCCTTAAGGATGCCTTCAAAACTTTATTTAATGTTCAGTGGGGCAGAAATATCATGACTGAGACATGCTACATAAACAGATGAATGTCTTCCAACCATTTCTAATCAGATATCTCAGGAGAAACACACTCACCAAAGCCGATGGAGTTTTTATTACAACCTTACCCTGTCTCTTAAACAGTCAGTTCATACATACGTACTACTGTACGTCTTTTCCTCATTTCTTTTAGTAGGTCCCCACCACTGTTTTTCCTTTACCACAAAATAAACACCTGAGATTCAGAGTTAGAGATTCAAGTGCACAGAGATGCAATGAGAAACTGTGGCATCCAGTGTAAATGGCGCTGCCCCCTATCCACGATATGCCGAGATATGGGTGCAAGCTCCCATCAAGGAAAAGGAAGACCAGAATACGATGCCCCTCAAGGAAAAGAGTGGTCTAGGTCTCTGGCTCCGGAGCCAGAGGTTGGTAGTTCGATTCCCCACTTGTGCCTCCTTGACAGAGGCTGGACCTGATGATCTAGAGGGTCCCTCCCAGCTCTGCAGTTCTAAGATGAAATTCACTCTTTAAAATAAGATGAGAGGGTATCGCCATTTATTTTACTAACACTCAATAGTACATTTACCTGTAAACTTTGGTGCTCTGGGGCAAAGCCCTCGTTGCCCTACCCTACGTATAACCCTACAACAAGCCCTTGATTCTCCATTAGGGGTACGTTTTTATTTCTCCTTGTGATAAAAACATCAGATTTAGAAGAGCAATTAATGGCTTGACCAATTTTTGTTTTTTTGTGTAGCACCTTGCCAACAAAAGTGCGAATAGTCAAAGTTATGGTTCTTCCTGTAGTGATGTATGGAAGTGAGAGCTGGACCATAAAGAAAGCCGAACGCCAAAGAATTGATGCTTTTGAATTGTGGTGCTGGAGGAGGCTCTTGAGAATCCCCTGGACTGCAAAGAGAACAAGCCTATCCATTCTGAAGGAAATCAACCCTGAGTGCTCACTGCAAGGACAGATCCTGAAGCTGAGGTTCCAGTACTTTGGCCATCTCATGAGAAGACAAGACTCCCTGGAAAAGACCCTGATGTTGGGAAAGCGTGAAGGCAAGAGGAGAAGGGGATGACAGAGGACGAGATGGATGGACAGCGTCATCGAAGTGACCAACATGAATTTGACCCAACTCCAGGAGACAGTGGAGGAGGGCCTGGCGTGGTCTGGTCCATGGGGTCACGAAGAGTCAGACACAACTAAATGACAACAAAAAGGTCCAATGAACACAGTCAGTTCTCAGGCACTGAATCTCAGTCTTTTCCACGAGATTGTCCTTAGGACATCTTGGGGCATATTTACAGATGTGTGGATCACAGATGCAGGGTTTTTTTCCCCCTCAAGGACCTCCTATTCCTTTTGAACATTGCTCCATTGCGCATTTTCATCATAGACGCTCATGGCTCATCCCTCTTTGCAGTGATCAATGCTGGAACTCAGTCCTTATTCACCGGCAAACAGATCTCGTCACCAGCCTGGAAGTGG